AAAAGATCAAATGAATTAAAAGCACGATATTAGAAATAGGTCTTGAGTTGTTTCTTAAAACTGTCAACAGAAGAAGCTTGTCTGATGTGTGGTGGGAGTTTGTTCTAAACCTTTGGTGCATAGCAAGAGAAAGCTGCTTCCCCAGGAAGTCCAACTAATGATGAACTCAGCCAGTAAAGTGCTGAGTTCAATAATATGAGGTTTATTCATGAAGGATAAGCAAAGCACAGTCGAGAGTCTGCGGGTTATTTCAACATCTGTGTGTCCTGTGTTTTCATCGCTCAAGATTCACACAAACACTAGGAGGTCTGGAACAAAGCATACACCATTTATATCCATCTAAAACCTGAATTCACAGATTCTTCTGATGCAACTTGAGCTTTTTGCAAAATTTAATATCAAATTGAATTATTCTTGTTAATCGACAATTGTATGTAATTTTTTAAGAGAACTTTGGGCATTTTGGAAGACGATGAATCATTTCCAAAACAAGCAATAAGTAAATCTGAAAGTAAATATCACTTATTTGATTTGAGCACTGTGTCCAGTGTGTGTGCTAAAAAGTGCAATTAGTGTCGTTAGATATATCACTATGGTGATTTGGGTCATGACAAAATCCTTAAAGGAATTTTGGCTTCATTTTGGATGAACTTAAAACAAACTTAATCCAAGTGTGTAGCAAATGACTTCATCAACCCTGTCGAGCTCACAGCACTGCAGTAGATGTACACAGCTCTGTGAGGATTGGTGGGACTCACTCTCCCATCCAGGTGGCATAGCTCTCAGGCAGTTTTGGAACGAAAAGGATGGATTTCCCAGAGTCCACATCAATGGCACCGTAACAGTCAGGCTCAGTTACTCCAAAGGCCCAGTGGAAGAAGGACTCCTGCAGAAGGGAAACAATCAGCTGAAAATGTAACAGTCAGCTAAAGGAAAGCAGGGTGTCAGCTTATTGTGGTCAGAAAACTGCTTTTCTGTAGGGTGCCTGCGAAATATTTTGACACAGTGAGGAAATTAGAGCTTTCCCTTAGCACTGACTGACAATGAAACAGTGCAGTTGGTAATTTATTATATTCATTTTTGTTACCGATAAAGTTATTTTAATCATATAGGTACATTTTACAACCACTAGTCTCCAGGCAGACTTGGGCACAAGATCGGTAGTTACTTCTTTAGCTGTGCATGTTACAGTGATAAGCATACAGGCAGAAACACCTGCATCAACCGTGGATGATAAATAATTAAAATAGGCAACCCCCACCCCAGGACACCCACCATAGAAAAACATGAAGAATTTCACCGATTGCACAGACAGGGTACACCCTCATAAAACACGCTACTTCAGGAAAGTAAAGATATCACAGTAAGGATTAAATAACAATACACATAAACACCAGGACATGCAGATGGGACATTCATTCACTTATTCAGTGGCTTGGGACCAACATGGTTCATAGATAGAATATTAATTACAAGACCTTGCCCCCACACCTCAGCCTTAGTTTTCAATATTGTCAACAATCAAAGACAACCTACCTGTCTGAAAAGGACGTCTGTGTCAGTGCAGTACCTCTGTGTCTGCTCTCCGCCCTGCAGCACCACCACTGACTTTGGCACCACTCCGTCTTTAGCTTTTAGCCCTTTGCAGAGTCTTTGTCGGTTCTCTGCAAAAAGGGCAGCAGACACCCTCAGGGTGTCATTACCCAGCCAGTAGACAGGTCTGAGAGGACAGGGAGACAGGGGATTGGGTGGCAGAGTCATTAGAGAGACTGGGTTTTAGGTCTAGATTAGGATTTAAACCATAGATTATTTATAATTTATGTGAGACTAAAAAGTCATAGAAATGTACAACTGACTATTTATAACACAGGGACTATTTTACTTTAAAGCAAGTTCATGTGATGGCCACTGCGAGAATTAGCTGAACGCAAAAGGGACATTTCTCACATTTTGTTTATTTAGTTATTCCACATTAGAAAATAAAGCCAGAGCTAAATCCAATCATGATGGAGAAAAACATTCTCAGGGTTTGGTGGTTTTGATTCAAATTATACGGATAGGCATAAACACTGACCCCAACACAGACATATAGAGATACACAGCCAAAGTTACTTATATGTGTTACTTGCTGTCCAACCTAAAAATCTGTACCCTTTTTTTCTACTTCACTGTAGTAAATACAGCTTACACAGCTCTACTTAAAAATAATCCTCTTCATTAAAATCATAGGCGCTGCAGTAAAAATTTACATTGTATTATTAGTTCAATCTGGAGGAAATCCCCAGGATGTGCTCAGGAGGTTTGAGCCTTCAGACTGACTTCAGACATGGATCATGAAAGATCAGCAGCCTTGTAACTGAGAGCTGTTGGTCATAAAGCTTAGACTCTGGTTGTGCTTTCAGTGATAAGATAAAAATAATACATGGTATCTGATCGACCATATCAAAGGTTAATCCATAACTTCACAGCATTTCATGGCTCATGTGTTTCTGTATCATTCACTGTTGGCTGAGTTTACCAGTGTTACTGTGAGGATTAGCCACAGTGGTGTGTCAGTGAGGTCTCTATAAAACTAGGTTAATGTTTGTCTCTGGTGTTGTTCTGGATTACATAATGCCGTGATTTCTGCTCCATTCTTTGCAACCTGAGAAAAGCACATATCTTATGTCTGCTGACATTTTTTATCATTAATCACATCAGATTACATGCAGCTTAACCTAATGATCAGTGTCTGTTGTGTTGTGATGGCAAGAAGATAACTATTGTTCTGAAGCGACTCTAAATACATAACACATAATTATACTGTTGCTTTTTTCATCATCATTTCATTGTTTTAAAGTGAAGGCATGGACATTATAACCAGCGTAAAACACACATGCATACATAAATAACAAATTAAGTAGAAATAAGTAAGATATATCACAGGGGTCCAGGAGTCTAATCTAGATATAGCCTCTTCCTGAGGATCCTAAAAGACAAAACATTCTCCATAATAACATTCTCCATAAGATCACATTTCCTGACGTGTGTCTTTGAAAGCAGCTTCAGGTTCATATACCAGTTTAAAAATAGAAACCTGATTTTAAAGAAAATGTCTGAGCAGTCAAACATTGAACTGAGAGCTGGTTCCAGTCTCTGGTTTAACAAAGTGATGGTTCAGCACATCATGGACAAAGTGAACTAGTCACCATGCTGCTGTCAGTTCAAAGTATCTTCCTTCACATGTGGATGTTGATGTGGTCTGACAGTGAACATGTTAAAGACTATCATCTGACTCTACCATCTACATGCTGTGTTCCAGGTAAAGTGAGTGGAGTCAGAGCAGGGGACTCACTGTGGAGCTGCAGCCATGTTGATTCCGGGTCCAGGATGTCACGTGGTGACGGGGCTCACGTGAGTTTTGTTCTCCTGTGACGCTGATCAGCTGACGTGGCGTCGTGCTGCGTTTAAGCAACATGGGACATATCACCTTCAAACGAGACGTAGTGTTGTAAACTGACTCGTGAGGCTTTTGTAGGATTGTTTTCCCAAAGTCGGCTGTTGTTTACAGAGTGCTGCAGTCAGCAGGAGCAAATACCACTGTATAAATATATTGAGAAGAAACACGAAAACAATACAGGTCAACTGGGCTGTCCTGAAAATACGAGCTCTCCCTAAATGTCACACAGAATTTGTATGGTAGCCTAATTATAGACTTTATATAAAAACTAATGTTGGGATTCAACATAAACTATTGAGTTATTTTTTAAATTGTATTTATACTTTATCAAAAACTGCATGTTGTTACTTAATTTCCCTCCGGGGATGAATAAAGTCATCTATCTATCTATGTTGGGCAATCCACACTCTACTGTAGCACAACAAATATTTCCTCAGAAATTTGATAACGTCAGATAAACTCTTGCTTTATAAAATATGGTAAAAATATATATTTCTGTATTGTATACAGTATATCATTATGTATTATTACATTTCTTTTTTTCAGTTGTTCAGTGGTGTGATTTTTTTTGTGTTGCGTCTCTATATTTAATAAATACTTTTATAGTTACTATATATATAGTCTATTTTACACTAGTATATTCCTTTTAGTATTGAAACAATACAGTAGCAGCAAACAAGGAGATTCATCAGATTACAGAAAAATAACAACAATAATAATAATAAATGCAGGTGAACAGGTGCAGAAAACAGAAAAGTGAAATTATACATTTATCCTTATTATTAACGTGTTCTATAATCTACAGGGAACAGTAAATTGTGTTCACATTTTAACACAGCAGACATGGGGAGACACTATTATTTATTAGAGTTTTTCAAACAATGTGACTTTCTTTATAAACCATTGCACCATCTTTCATTGTTTCTAAGAACTGGACTGAAAATAGAACAATCTCTCAGCCATTGGTTGTGGAATAATTTGGCACCATTGAAAATCCTCCTCTATGTTCACTTTCAAAGACGTATAGGCTACGCTGGAAAAAGGATATTTTTAATGGAGAATGGGGCCTGTTTCTGTCACAATTAGAGAAGCATTAAATGTACTGCTGGTTGATGGTTGAGAACTGTATCTGACTGATCCTGACACAGTGTGTGGGTCATCTTGTTTTATAATCTATCATAAGGAACTTCTGGTCTTGCAGTGGCTGTACAGGACTTTTCTCTGGTGTGTGTATGTGTATTGTGTGGTGGTTTTAGTTTTGACTTTTTGTGCATTTGTTTTATATCGTCCTGTTTGTACGAGTTATTGATTTTGATTTATATCTATCAAGGAAATAAATGTTGTCTGGACATGTGAGGTTTTTACCATTTTCTTCTTGTTTTGTATTCTTGCTGTTCTGCTTGGTTAACAAAAACAGTTACAGTTTGTGAGGAAAAGATGTGATCAATACATCAATAAAAAAGTCATCTTTCATCTATCAAGAGTCCAGGGACGAAGAAACTCACATGAAATATGAGAAAATGTTCTATTCAGACAACGTTGAGTCAACACTCGCTCTATTACACTCTACTCTCACAGGTTAGCCTGTACCCCTTAAAGTAAGATGCACACTCTTACACTTACACACAATATATTTTGTATTTTTTTTCTTTCTGTCTTCATTTTCTTTAAAAATCAGGCCTGCACTGTAAACATTGTTGCACAGGGAATTAAGTAGTAACAGAAAATAAATACACTTGGTGGACTGCATAACTGGGTTTGTCCCAGTGTTTGTGCCATAACCACTTGGGCCAACCTTACAACTACTCAAATGTAAAAGTCATATTACAGCTTTGACTTTTGTGTAAAAAAGAGCAATACACATCTTTGGAAAGGTGCAGGATACCATCTCTTGTAATAATTATGCCCTGGTGCTTTTACGATAAGATCAGTAGGAGGAGCTGCAACTCTCTTTTGACTCAATAGTCTGAGAAATAATGATAATTATGAATGACTGCAGAAACACAATGCTGGTAACTGGAAATAAGAAAAGACAACATCCAGGGACAAATGACAGACAGCTCACACATTGAGTAACATGAGCCAATGTCACTGTAAAAGGTAGATGTATGATGATAGAGTACATGGTAATGTAATATAACAACATTGTTATGGAAGTTTTCTGGAAGCTGGTGAAAGGAGAACTCAGGCAGCAGACATTTTTTAATTCTATTCTAAATTTAACCTGGGCCCAGTGCAGTGAATCTAATGCAGGAGAAATGTAATTTCCTAATTCTTGTCTGGAAACGCGCTGCAGCATTTTAGACAAGCTGCAGGGTCTTTAAAGACTTACTGCTGGAGCCTGATTATGAGGAATTACAATAATCATGTCTGGATGTGACAAAGGCATGGATTCTTTTTTGTGCATCTTTTGCAAGAAATTTGTGAGAATCATAGGACAAATCACAATCAAGGATGTCTCCCAAATTCCTGATAGTTTCCCTGCAAGCAAGGACAATGTCATCTAGGATGGCTATATCCTTAGATAATGTATCTCTAAGGTGTTTAGTATTAGAACCTCTGTTTTATCTGAGTTTAATAGGAGATTTGGTTTGGTGTTGGGGATGGAGAGCAAACCTGAGTTTGAGGATCATTGCCTTCTGAGCGGAGTGTAGGGCTGGAGGAGGTCGGTTAAATATGGTGGGGTTTGGGCATGGAGGGATTTGTAAGTGAGAAGTTAATGCAGGCCTTTATCGGGAGCCAGTGGAGGCGAATGAGGGTCGAGGTGATGTGCTGCCAGGGCTTAGTGCGGGTGAGAACCCTGGCAGTGGAGTTCTGTACATATTGGAGTCGTTTCAGAATGTTGTCAGGTATACCGAACAGGACTTCATTGCAGTAATCTAGGCGGGAGGTGATTTAGGCATGGGTCTGGGTTTCTGTCATGGAATCAGGGAGTGAGGGTCAGAGTCTGGAAATATTTTTGATGTGGAAGAAGGCGGATTTGGTGACAGATTTGAAGGAGAAGGTGGAGTGAAGAATAATTCCCAGGTTGCGGACCTCAGGGGATGGGGAGATGGAGCAGGACAAGACTGTTTGATCCAACCTGCAAGGCAACTCATAAAAACACACACACACACTATAGAGAAAAAGCTGGAACAGTAACCTAATACATCCCATCAACGTTTACTGGTTACATATCCTGTGCCAAATGTTTAATATTTATTCAAGAGCAATTTTTGTTGACAGAGCAAGAGAGTCCATTTTACGTTTAATCATCAAGGACATTTTAATATTTTGGATTCACATTCAAATGTCAGATTGAATGTTCTTTCAAATTAAGTTCATTGCGCTTTGAAAAGGTCAACTTGCATGATTATGCTATAATATTGTCATTATATCAGTGGTTAAAAATGGTTTGAGAGGTTTTCTGGGACAATGTATCTTCTGGCAGGGTTTGTTGTTGTGACAGGCATATCATAATATTTTTCATAATGCACTGAGTTGGAGGTTTCCTTGCACAGTTACACATATCCAAGCAGAATTGATAGTGTGCAGGGATGTATTTGTAATGGAAAATTTGCATTTGCATATGACCTTAGCTTGAACTCGCTATTAATGCTTGTGTGCTGTGTTCAACATTCACTCATGTAGTGCTTGCATAATAGGAACTGTCTAGCGTATGTGCAGACGGACGATTCGAAACTAGACAGATACTTTTTTTTTTCTTTTTTACCTTTAACTAACAAATGCCTGAGTGTTGCTATGCACGTGGCAGATGTAACCTCAGAGTTAATTTCCTTACTTGATGATCTGTGTGGCTTCTTTCATGCAGAAGCAAGAGCAGACAGCTTCCTGTTTTAACCAGACTACAGGTGGCTTCAGTTTTCATGCTACTACTCATAAACAGTTGTCTCTTATGTTTCCTGTTTACCCGACTGTTTAAAAACCTTCTCCTTTCAATATTCAAGGTGTTCCACTCTGAGCATTCATGCTGAGTGGGAAACCCTCTGCAGAGCTCTATTAAAGACCCAAAGATAATTCCAGTCTGAGAAACTCTTTATTTCACATCTCGAGATAAATTTCCATGCACCACATATTCTTAACTGAATAGATATTGAATCAAATCAAACTGAGACCTTGTGAACTGGATTTGATTAATAATAGACAAAGTACAAATACTTTGTTACTGTACTTAAGTAGATTTTTCAGGTATCTGTACTTTAGTATTTATTTTCCTGATGACTTTTTACTTTTACTCCCTACATTTGAATACAAATATCTATACTTTCTACTCCTTACATTCTCAAAACTGTTTCGTTTTCACGCTTTTACTCAAGGAGCAACTCTCACTCATTCGCTTGCCCCCTGCCCCTGGAGACACGCAAGCCCTGGCGGTGTTATCTAATGAGGCATCGTGTATCATTGAAGTTAAAAATTCATTTTTACTTTTGTACTTAAGTAAGAATGTGAGTACTTTTGCCTATAGTGAGAATTTTACTGGCAATTTTTACCCTTGGATAAAAAATATATTCAACTAACTACCTTTATTTGATTTATTTATATCCAGACGTTTCTACTTTACTACATTATTCTACTATGGATTTGTTGCATTTTTCATATGAGCTCTTTTTTGTCAATACAATTGTTTTTACAGAAGCAGAACCTTTTTGTTCCCCCTCCAACACTGAGGTTGCTTCTTTCAAATACAATATGGTGGGCATTCCAAAATATCTAAGTCAGCACTAGCAACAGTACTGCAGACTTTCATTTAAAGCACTTAGTCAGACTCAAACATCTTCAAACAGGACATTTGACCTTTTTGATGCATTTTATCTTTTAAACAGATAGTTGGCCTGCAATGCTTATTTTGGAGGAACATGATTTTATACTTCCGTGTTTGTTTTGGTATTTGGCTTATTTTGATGATTTCAGCTCATTGTATTTGAAAAGGAAAAAAGCAGAATTAACAGAAACTTCATGTGTGGAGTATTGTAAAGAAATCTGGTAATGTTCAATTATCTG